TCAAGGACAGTGACTGCCCTGTTCCTTGTGTGCAAGTGCCTAGGAAGAGCAGGATCATAAAATATGGGTGAACACTAGAGGTCAGTCCTTCCTGGCTCTCACAGAAGCAGCAACTCCTTCCTTACCACACCCTGTCCTACCTACCCTGCATCATCTACTGATGTTCTTGTCTTCTTTCCCTTCCTGAAACCTGAGCCACCTGAGGTCAGGATCTGACTAGGTCTGACATACCCCATCTCTGAGCTTACCCAGGGTGCCTGTCTGGCAGAGACTTTGCCTATTTACATGTAACACACATGTGCGGGGTGTATGTTTCTCTGAGCTTATGCACATAGGAGAAGGGACTGCTGACAGCTTGAGAAGCACAAGATTGAGATGGAGTTCTAAGCAAACACCCTTTCCTGTATGCCATTCATCCTCAACTCCAGCAGTGTCGTTCCCCCACCGCCCGGGGCAGAGTATGTACTAATCCTTGATCTCCTCAGGTCACCTCTGTTCACTGGTCTTCAGATTTACACAGTTTAGAAAGGCTTTTTTTGGGCTTGGGTAGAAACCGGGCAAAAGTAAAACTGCAGCTGGCTCCCTAGAATTAGGGGGGGGCCCGGTGGCCAGACATAGAAAGCAAGACCACTAAATAGCAGTGACCTAAGGATTCATGCATCCTGGGCCATGAGATGGGGTTATCAGAACCAGAGAGAGGCTGCACACACAGAAGGGACTTAGTTTAGAGACTTTGGAATGAGGTTAGAAGCAAAGTTAGGACAGCAACAGGCTCCTTATAGAGTCATGGAGACGCTGGACTCTAATGCACACACTGAGAGGTCTCAGGGAGACATAGCTCTTCATCTCTTATCTCTGCTTTGCTCTTATCCTCTAGACCTGAAAGACCTGATCCAGATTACTCCTTGAGCCAGAAGTTAAAGTGCTCATCCTTGAAACAGCTGCCCCCAAATGCGAGGTTCTGCTGACTGCCTAAAAGGGTTGTAAAATGAAAAGGGAGGGGCTAGGAACTCAAGGAGGAGGCTTCCTTCAGGCCCTGGGCAGCAGCACCAGGGCTAGAGATTAAGCTTAGCACTTCCAGTGAATTCAGTAGAGTAGGATTTGGGGTGAATTCGATGAGAGAGGAACAAATTTGCAGCTCAAAGATCTGACAGGCTAAACCCACCACTCTCTGCACCTAACCCAGACACGACAGCAAAGGGGACATTACCCAAGCCCCTCCCCATCTGCTCACCTGAGTTCCTGGGAGGCAGAGGCTGGAGCTGCTGGGGGCTCAGGACTCCCAATCTCCTCTTCTTCAGGGCCACGGGCTCTCTTTGCCTCTGACGGGCCTAGCAGTTCTTTCTGGGACAGTTTAACGGGTGCCAAGACTAGGAAAGATGTGGGGGCGGGTCAGCCTCTGTGCTGATGCTAGGCAGCTTCAGCACTCTCTCCAGTTGTCCAGATCTGCCCTTTGCACTCTGGCCAACCCCAGTCCTCACCACGAAGCTGCAGACTCTCATTGGTAAAAGGTCGGTTGATCACCTCCTTGGACCTGGCAGCAAAGTTGAGTGCAGAGACTGTATCTAGGTAGAAGCGTCTCTCAGGAGCAATGTTGGCAATGAGGATGCTGTGGGCTGAGCCACCCAGAGAATCCTGAGGGATGGGGATTGGGCAGGATAGGCAGATCAGAAGCCTCACGTTTCCATTCCTCGACTGCGGTTCCCCAGCCTCCCGGCACACCGGAGAACCTCCTTCTCCAGCCCCTTTTCATCCTGAGATGGGTGGCCTGACCTGCAACAGGCGAGTGAGCTTGCTGTCCCGGTAAGGCACACGAGGGAGGCCCTGGTTCAGCGCATCCACCACCTTGCCCAGTACAAAGAGGGAGGAGTTGATGGCTCCGCTTTCCTTCAGCCGCAGACCCTTGTTACCCGTGCGCCGGTTGTCCTCGGAGCCAGCCAAGTCAATCAGGTAGAGTTTACCCTCCCGCTGGCGAAATGGGGCCAGACGTTCCCGCTGATCCACCTGGGGTTAAGAGCAAGGACCCCCAAGCTTAGTTCAGCCTCTAGGGGCTTCCCGGCTTCTCCCCCCATCAGCAGGCCTCACCTTAACCAGGAGCACAGCATGACTGCGGGAGGAGCGCTGGTTGAGCCGGGTGGCTCCTACAGTCCGATTTCTACTGGCTGGCAGGAAGTGCCGCTCAAAATCAGCAAAGCTAGTGATGGGCTTCTGCGTGAGGCCCGGAATCAGGATGTTTCCCCGACAGTCTTCTCGGATCACCAGGTCTCCTGATGCAGGGTCCAAGAGGTCTAATACCTGTTGGAGCAGGGAGAGGTAGGGCCAGTTCTCCAGACACAGGCTGCTTACTTCCGGGGCATCAGTCTCCTCTGCTGGACTGTCCGAGGTATACCATCTGCTCCCCCGACCTCTGTCTGTCCAGCTCTTGCCTCCTTGCTAGGGCAGAGCTTCACGGTCAAGAACTGGATCTCATTTTGTTTGCCCTTTGTCTCTCCCCTTCCCAACCAGAGTGGGGCCTCACCTTTTCCTGGTAGATCTCTAAGTAGGACATAGTGACAGAGAGAGCCCATGGCCGGCCCTCACCGCCCTCCTCCCTTGTGAGCTGTAGGAGGTCCATGAGAGCCCGGGGAATCACTCCAGGTTGCTCTGGGCTGCCCAGCATTGTGTGCGTCTTCCCTGGGGAAAGAGTGAAGATCGCTGTGAGATCTTCCTCCCCACTCTTGAGCCCTCTCGGACCCATAGCTGTTCCCTATCTGGCTCCCTCACCTGCCCCCGTGGGCCCATAAGCAAGCACACTGGCATTCTGTCCTTCCAGCAAGTGCCTTAGGATGGGCTGCACTGATCCTGCATAGATGTCCTGCTGAGAGCTCTTCTCCCCATAGAAGGCATCAAACCTGCAGGCAGGAAAAAAGGAATCAGTGGAGGGTTCCATCCTCCCCCAGATTTAGAGGGTAATAATACTGGCCTCGGATTTAAGAGTCTCTATTGCTTTTCTTGCATAAAGACCTCAGAAAGCATCCAATGAACACCTGTTCTGCCCCAGTCCCCGTACTGGTGTTAGGAATACAGAGATGAGTCTGATACCCTGCTCTGGGCAGTTCTGTAGTCTGGTGGGACAGAAAGATACCTATACTTTTCTGTGATTCAGGAAAAGAAGAGGAGGACACACTAGAAAGAGTAACTGAGGGGCGCCTGGGTGGCTCAGTCGGTTAAGCGACTGCCTTCGGCTCAGGTCATGATCCTGGAGTCCCGGGATCGAGTCCCGCATCGGGCT